TCTCAAGACTAACTCAGGTCTTATCATCCGCGTGCCCACCCCCTGGTGTGCGTGCCTGCTGTGGGTAAACTTTCCTGCGAGGTTTTCCTGCTCAGTGAGATCACAGAGCTGATTTCACACTCAGCCACCACCACAGCTGCCTGCAGCCCCTCGCCCTCCATGGCCCCAGGCAGCTCTGCATCGTCAGCTCTGCTGCCCAGACTGGACTTGTGCTCTGGACATGGGAGGCCAGGGCCTGCTCCAGGCTGGTGTGGCCTCAGCCTGTGCACTGTACCCACTGACACGGTGGGTGCGGCCTCTCTGCAGAGGCTCTCTGCAGCCAGCGGGACCACGTCGCATCCTTGCTTCCATGTGATGACCTGGACGCCCAAGCCCCTTGAGAAGGAACAGGGAACCTCAGGAGGGAGAGCAGTGCCCCAGGAGCCATCCGAGGCTTCCTGCCCTTCAGAGCACCCTCTGCTTCAGTCACCCGCCTTCAAGTGTGGCCCCACAGAGTCCTCTGAGCTCAGCACACCCGGCACCCCCAGCTCTGCTCAGCCTGCTCTGCACCCTCTGCCCATCCCAGCTCCAAGCTCCCAGGGCTTCCTGCAGCCCCGCAGAGGAGCTTCGGCCAGGGCCACCCACCTCTGCCTGGCTTGGCTTCAGGGCTGAAGGGGTATGGGGCGAGGGAGGTCGGCCACTGCTCCCGGTTCCAGCGACTGTAGAGCTGTCCTTGCTTTTGGTGATGTCAGGACTATGAGAGAAGTTCACTTACCGGTGGGTCACCGTTCACTTGTGGCATGGATTCTGTTATTGTCAGCATTTGGTAAGACATCTTATTACTACGTTTTTAAAAATGTACTTGCTTCCTTAGCAGCCGGCTTGGAAGCTTCCTGGAAATTGGAGGAAGTTGAAGCAGTTTATGGTCCCTGGAAGCTCATTGCAGGGCTTCTCTCAGTGACGTCCACAGCTCTCGCCTTCACTGGCACACTGATGAGTTTACACGCGAGTGTGTCCTGTGTGTGTGTGTGTGTGTGAGTGTGTGTCTCACACCTCGATGCTCTGACAAGCCCTCCTGAAGGTGCGCTATGGGTTAAAGATAATTTGTACTTACTACTCATTTTTCTAGAACTTTTCAAATTTTCTACCATAAACAGGCTTCTGTTATAAGGAATACACCCTCCTAAGTGACAGGAAAAGCTGACGATCTTCCCAGTGTGGCTTCCTGTGTGCTGAGACAGAGTTCCATGGCGGCATCCGACTGTGACTGTGGACTGACCCGGCTGGGCCGATGGGAGGCTGAGACAGGCGGGTGTGCCCAACATTGCGGACAGTGCGCTCGGGATGCAAAATTAGCCAGTGACAGCACATCCTGGGGACGCCACAGCTGTACGCAGGAGACAGGAAGGGAGGACAAGGCCCGCGCCACCTCCAGCCCTGCTGTTGTGCACCCTGTCTCTCACCGTCCCGCTTAGGAGTCCAGGGAGTGGCAGCACCTCACAGAGCCAGGCAGGGGAGGACGGGGTCACTCACCTTGGCTGAGGCCACTTGTCCCTGACCTGATGCCACATTCCCAGGACCCTGTGTCTGGCATGGAAACTTCCTTTTGAGGCCAAAGATAATTTAAGCTGCACATAATTTAAGCTTTCAAAGTTCTAAAATGAATGTATTTGCTCCTTTGGACAGGATCCAGGGAGAACACCCCCAGCGTTTACTTCTAAAGACTTCCCAAGCCCGAGCCCATCTGCAGGGTGGGGCCCAGAATCCTTCCTGACTCCCCACGGGGACGGCCCTGTGTCTCTGCAAAGGCCCCCAGAGGCCCCCATCCGTCCAGAGTGGCTTGTGTTCCCCAGGGTGCGTGGTGTAGGTGTGCTGGGCACAAAGGAGGCAAGTACGGCTAAGCCGGGAGATGGGGTGTCTGCTGCCCTGGGGTGAAGCTCTGTGTCACTTTCTCATGGGCCCTGGGAAAGTTTGCCAACCAGAGAACTGGCAACCTGTGTCAAGAGCAAGCATCATCATGTTTGCCATGGACACTGGGATCCCCGCCCATGACCAGGGCCTGGGGATGTTCCACAGATCCTCTTCTCCTTTTGGAAAGAGTACAGAGGGAACAATTTCCCTTGATAAACATTCCTGAGTTTCAGGATCATTGTTCAAGCTACAGACAGTAAGGCTTATTTTCATATTTATATTTTGTTGCAGTCAAGGTATGCAAGGGAAAGGAATTAATACAATACACACAATTTATAGGATTATTTTATAATGTTCACCCCAAAGAGTCAAATGCAAAAAGAGTGCAGGAAATCTGTCCACACACTAGAGACTCAAAGAATCCAGCTGAGGGCCTGGATCCCACCATAATGTCCCACATGAGTACAGCTGAAGACTTAGAGCCCATCACAATGCCCCCCGACAAGTCCAACTGGAGGCCAAGAGCCCATAACAATATCTCATGCAGGCCTGTTTCACAAATCTGCGCTGGGAAGGCCCAAAGGTCAGTGGTGGACTCTAGTAAGTCTGTGCCAGTGGGATGAAGGATCTGCATTAGCAGGCTAAGGGATCTGCACTGGAGCCAGGAAGTGATGTGCAAAGTAAGAACCACAGTGCCCCTAAAAAGTACCTCAGCCATCTTCAGCAGCAGTGAGGTCCCAGGATCCTTTGATGATCAGGAAAGCTGAGGTCCTATCAGAAAAGCCAATGTGATAAGCTTCTCCAGGAAACTGAGCTGTGTACCTTCTTCCCCTCCGGAGCCAGGAAGCGATGCTCAGAGTGAGGTTCAGAGCTCCCCCGAAGTGAACTGAAGCCATTCTCAGTGACAACAATGTCCCGAGCTCCTTGGAGGATGAAAACAGCCAAGTTCATCAGGAAAGCAGCATGATGAGCTCCTCCAAGAAAACCAGCAACTCCTTACAGCTTCTCTCTGCTTCCAGCACACTCCCTACAGCTTCTACCAGCTCACAACAGCCTCACTACTTCTTCTCAGTTCTGCCTTTAAAAGTGTCAGCAGCAGTCCTCAGGTGGGCCTCCCGCACCCAGCTCCACGCTTACTAAGTTCAGCTGGGTATTACAGGTTGACCGCAAGTTGTCAATTGACCACAGCTGCAAAGGCCCAAAGGTCAGCGGTGGAAGCTAGAAAGTCTGTGCCAGCAGGAAGAAAGATCTGTGCCAGCAGGCTGAGGGATCTGCACTGGAGCCAGGAAGCAATGCTCAGGGTAAGGACCAGAGCTCCCCCGAAGAGAACCCAGCCATCCTCAGTGATAGTGAGGACCCAAGCTCTTCCCACAATAAGAACAGCTGAGTTCGTATCAGGAAAGCCAGCATGACAAGCTCCTCCAGGAGAACCAACAGCATCACCTTTTTCCTTCCAGTTCTCCTTCTATGCTATTGGCAACAACCCCCAGGAGGGCTCTCCACACCCAGCACCCCACTGGTTCAGTTCAGCTTGGTGATCCAAGTTGACCACCAGCTGTCAAGCCACCATGCATTTCATCCATGAGTCTTAGCAGAAAGGGAACGAAAAGCTAGGAGAAGCTGATTTTACCTCACAATTTCAGAGCAATAAGTCCATGGTTGGCTGTCTTACAGGAAGAAGACTTGTGGAGAAAAAGATGTTCACCTCCTGGCAGCCAGAGAGCAGAGAAACAGGAGACGACCAGCACGGAAAGGGCCAGGGACATGCTGAACCCTCCAAATGCACCCTCTGGTGAGCTGGGTCCCTCCTCTGGACAGCCCACTCTGCTGTCACTCACCTGAGGATGAACGAGTGTGAAGCAGCCTGCCTGGAACCTCGCCGTGATGGGGACGAAGCCTGAGACACGAGGGGACTTGGCTCTCTGATCCATACTCTGAGTCCCTTCCCACCATAGCCAGTGGATGGTGCAGTCACCAGGTCAGGGCAGCATGGGAGGTGTGCACCGGGGGGGTGTCCCTACCCCCTGCGGCAAGCACAGAGGCATGGGTGCCACTCTGTAGGGCAGTCCACTTCCGCCAGCCGGCTGGCACGGCGCCTTGCTCCCAATTCACTTCCCTGATCTCCAGGCGAGTTACAGGGTTCTCCTAAACTGCCGCTGGTTACTGCTGTTAGAAGTGAGCTGCGGAGGGCCGCATCCTCGGCAGCACTGTGAGCACACACTAAGGAAGGACAGGAGAGACCCCAGGGGATCGGCTGGCCGGGACCGGGGGCAGGGAGGCAGGTCTGGGGGCCCGTGTGGCTGTCCTGGCTGGGGTGGCTTCCAGAGCAGACTTCAGTTTGGGCTGATGCTTTGCATCCTGGATCGTTCCCTCGGATGAGCAAGCAGCAGCCGGCAGCCCTTGACTGCCGTGGCCAGCAGGCCGCTCCCCCACCACAGCACCTCTCAGCAGCCATGGGACCCCCATTCTCGAGGCCTCGGTCACCCTGATGACCCATCCTGCTTCTCCCCTGGTGCCCGCATCTGGGGACTTCCGTGATGCTGAGCTGAACCTGCCCTCAGGTCTGTGTTCCAGCTCCAGCCCGCTGCTCTCCATCAGCGCAAATTTGGAGTAAGCAGTGCGAGAAGGCCGAGCCCCATGCGGCCCCGGGGTCTGCCTTGTGCAGACGAGCCCCTGCACCCTCAGGGCTGCCCTGGGACCCCCGCTGCTGATGGGAGGAGACGGGCTTGGAAGGGCCCCTGCGGCCATCGTGACGTGTCCACCACCACCGGCTTTCATAGGCAAGGCGGCTCCCTCCATAACGCGCGTGTGTGTGCTTCCTGTGAGAGCGTTTGCACAGTGAGCGCGCCCGTGTCTGCCGCGCCTGCCTGTGCTGCTGCCCCTGAAGCCCTGGGTGGTGTGCTCTTGCCTGCCCTGCTCGAGTACCGAGCCTGCAGGCAGCGGGGAGCAGGGACTCAGTGGCATCCCCGTCTCTGCTGCAGAGCACCCTTGCGTCCCAGGAGGGCCTCGGTGCCGGGGTGGCTGCCCTTCCTCCCTGCGGCGTGGAAGTGCCAGCGAGGAGGCTGCACACAGCCCCAACTGCTCCTCCCCTTCGCCCAGGGCGGAAGGCTGCGGGCGGGAGCTGAGGCCCCACACCCAGCACAGGCCGCTGCTGCCGGATATGAAGACCCCAGGTCTCAGCATGGCTGGACGCACGGGTGATTTCTTGCTTTTAAACTACTTGAGAGCCTTTGTATACCTGGCTTCGAATAGAGCTGAATTTCTGACCTGGGGTGGCCTTTAGCCCCGTGCTGGGGCTCTGTTCGAAGTGCTGGGTGCAGGCGGGCACGGCTTCATTTGAGAAGACAAGGGCTGGGGGCAGGGGCTGCACGCCCCAGGCTCAGCCCAGCGCCCTGTGACCGCCACCCCCAGCCCCTTCCTTTCAGCTGATCTGCTGGCTCGCTGCCTCCTGACCTGTGACACCCTCCAATTGTTATCGAATCAATTCAGCCGAAATTAAAAAGGTGTATTTGTATTTGCTTTACACCCTTCGGCTCAGGTGTTTGTGGGGTGACCTTTCGGTATTGGATTCCGGCTGCTGATAGCACACAGCCGGCCAGATTGCTTTCCTAATAAATAATGAAGCACCTTCCAAGAGGGTAGGGGAGGGCTGCACAGCCCGGCCACCTCCTGAGGGCTCGGCCCCACCCCCAGAGGAAAAATGCAGCCTCTTAGGAGGCCCTGACCCACACTTTATTTTGCTTTCAGCGCATTTGTCTCATTTGCAAGAGTTAGATTTTTGATCTGTTTTTATTTTGGTAAAATGCATATTATATAAATTTGCCTTTTTAACCACTTTAAGATGTACACTTTGGTGGCATTAAGCACGGTCAAACTGTTACATAGCCATCACTACTATCTACTTGCTGAACATTTTCATTGTCCCAAACAAAAGCTTTATACCCATTAAATGATAAGACCCCATCCACTTCCTCCCAGCTCCTAGAAATTTCCACCCAGTTTCCCTGTCCACAATTTGCGAAGTCTATGTATTGCACACAAGCGTATTCAGATGTTTACCACTCTGTCTGGCTTCTTTCATTTACCCCGTGTTTACAATATTCATCATGCTTCATAGCCAGGAATTGATTTTTAGCGTCTTCCCTTATTCAGCCACATGAAAACGGGTAAGATTTCTTTAAGGAAAAATAGAGAGCAGTTTACTATCAACCCCAAAAGCCCAAGGAAAGTACACTTTTCTGAAAATAAAAGCATCTCACCTCCTGTAGGAGTCCAGAAATTAGAAGATCACCTGAAAGAAGTTCCCTGAAATTAACATTAGGCTGGGTCTGGTGAGGATTTCAGAGAGAAAAGAACTGATGCTCTAGCTCTGTGTTAGAACACAGACCAGGAATGGATCCTGGGTTTGCAGTCATCGCTGTCTTACTATGCTTTTGTCATTGCTATAATTTCTCCCTGGAGTCAGAGCTCTATAAAACTGGTTGTCTCAGTTTTTTCTCATCGCTGGGACAAAATGCCCAGTCCCCACACATCAAAGGAAGAGGGGTTTACTTTGGCTCAGAGTGTTCATACAGATTTCAGTCCATACCTGGTGATCCAGTCACCTCCCCAAGGCCTGCCTGTGAGCACCTGAGGCTTTGGGGGGACCTCTACATATGAGCAGTAACCCTGGCTGACGTTACACACCTGGTCAAACATTTATCAAAGGGTATAAGAAAGTATAGAGCAAGTAAATGATAACAACCCACCAGGATGGTAAGGAACCAACTTAAAAATGCATGTTTATCTAGCTGTGCATCCATGTATCTACCTCTCAACCTAAACTTGCTGTTTATTTTAAAATCTGAGCTAAAGACTACTAGCTCAGATCTTTGCTTCTAATGTCTGGATTCTTATGTCTCTCTCTACACCGGGCATTCACTGACTCATCCCCTCACAGCCCAGCCCCTGCAGGCACCAGGTGGCCTGAGGAAGACGAAGATAAAGGCACCAGGCACAGGGAAGATCCTCCTGCCAGTCCTTCCTGACCAAACACAGGACCTGGCGCCAGGCACTGAGATTTGACTAGGGGATGGTGACGGTGACCATGCTACTGGTGATGGTGGTGAGGAGCTGGTGGTGATGGTGGTGAGGAGGTGGTGGTGATGGTGGTGAGGAGGGGGTGGTGATGGTGAGGAGGTGGTGGTGATGGTGGTGAGGTGACAGATGGCAGTGGCAAGGATAAGGTGATGGTGATGACGGTGGTGGTGGTGGCAGTGATGAAGGTGGTAAAAATGAGAGAAATAACTGTCTGAGTCCCTACATTCGTCATTCTTAGAGGGAGAAGAGAGGACCCACACCCCCTCCCTGAAGAGGCCTGCATGGGATGAAGTGTGTTACTGTGTAAACACAGGGACTTCCCCTCCTCCCTGTCACCTGCGGCCCTGTGCCCACTTCCGGGCAGGTGGCCTGCCTCCTTCTGTGACCCACACGAGGTGAGGACGGCAGACTCGGGCTCAGGATTTCAGGCGGGAAGTACAAATATTAGGGGCAGTTAATACAAGCTCAAATGGGGGTTTTCACATTATTTCACATTTTTAAAAACATAGAATTCTGTATTTTAACCCAATGTATTTTATAATATTGGCAAATAATTGAGGAAAATGGATTGTAAAGAAACACAGAGAAAGAATTCAACACCCTTGGAAAGCTAAGCCTTGCTTTCATGCTTAGACACATACTTCTTTAAAGCAAAGGAAAATTTCAAGGCTCATCCAGTGTGGCCACTGCTGTGGCTTTTCCTTCCTTTTCTGACTTTGTAAGCGGGTCTACAGGGCACTATCCAGATTTCATAACCAGATTTCAAATGAAATTCTTTAAGATAACTTATAAACATTCAGATGTTATTTTTATCTTTTAGTGTTCAGGACCTTTTCATAATAGGTGGATGCTTTGGGAAATTGAAAATGTTCATATTCATTTAGTATTTGGCAGGAAAATATCTTCATTTGCATATTTTATTCCCCTGATTTTCTACTAGATAAAAATTTGGCTAGGAGAACATTTTTAAATAAAATACCAAATTTAATATGTAACAAAGAATCTACCACCTGCTAACAATGTGATAAAGTATCTGTTCAATCACATTTTCACTGACGATGGGAAAAGCTATTTGCTTCTTTAATACCTGGGTATTTTGCTGAACTGGTTTCGGGTGGAAAGTTTAAGGTCTGAGGTGCTAGTGTGCCCAGGAGGAAGTGAGGTCACGCTTTTCCTGGGACACTGAGGCAGGGATCTGGAGGGGAAGTGCAGAGATGAGGCTCCGTGAAGCAGGGAGGGGACAGCAGGAGCCACCAGGCCTGCACAGACAGGGCTGTGTGTCTGGGCAGAGCATGGGTGCAGCTTTCCAGCGTCGAGGACAGCAGTGATGAACCTATGGCATGCGTGCAGCGGCGGGCTGTTTGCTACCACTGAGAGCTCTACAAGGTCCATCGTCCCTGGTCTAGGATGTGAGCCGAAGTTACCAGATAAAGTTTCAGGAAAATATGACCCAGTCTCAAGGGCAAATGTCCAAGCCAGACACCACGCCCAGACTACTTCAATTTAGGCTCACGCGACCAGAACTGGCAGTATGCTTGCGGGAGATAAAGGAAAGTATGTACGCAATGAATGGAAAGATAGGAAATTTAGAGGCAAAATGAAATTATATTAAAAACAATGGAAATTTTATAATGGAAAAAAAATCTGAAATTAAATAACTCCATCCACAGGTTTAACCACAAAAAAAGATAGACGGACGATCTACTGACTTTGAAAATCGATCAATAAACATCATTCAATTTAAGCAAGAAAAATAAATAACGGGACTCCCAGAAGAAAAGGAAAGAGAAATCAGGGCACAGAACAAATATGTGAAAATTAACTTAAAATTAGACTGCAGCAACCTAAGCGCCTTACAAAAGAGAAGGGAGGGGGTTAAGACAGAATTGAGATGTGTCATGTACATGGAACAGTGCCCCGTCCTGAGTGCAGTCATCACGTACTGCAGTCATGGACTAGGAGAAAATAATAAAAAGGCCTCAGACCTTGACGCGGACGGCCTTCAAAGACTCACGAGCTCCAGGAACATTTTAGACCGAGCATAAACATAAGCAGCAACTAGGCAGGAGGGCAGCGGAACATGAAGAGCAGGCGACGCTGCTACAGTTTTGTCAAGGAGAAAGGTAGAGGGGGCACACGTACTCCAGAGACTCTGCTGAAACTGTTGACAGGACGCCCTCAGGCTCAGTGACACCCACCCACGAGCGTGTCCCTGACACAGGCCACGGTGCCGCACGGGAGCCTGGGAGACTACCTCTCTCCCAAGCCCAGCTCTGGTCCTTGGGTTTGGGTTTTATGTTTCTGAGAAGTGCTGTATGCCCAGAGGATAAACGTTTGTCCTCACCGCTGAGGTTTCCAGTCAGGGGCCCTGGACCCTGAAGGCAACATCTGTGTCCTTGGGCAGGACTTGATGTGTGCAGTGGGCAGTGGCCACTCCAGCAGGTGACCTCCACCTGAGGACAAGGACTCCCGTGGCACAGCAGAGGGCCTTGGCGGCACTTTTCAGGCAGAGGCAGCACCCGATGACCAGCGCCCTGGCCAGGTGGGAGTGGCGAGGCCCCACAACCCAGGGGACATGGGTACTCCTGAGCCCATCCCGGTAGGAGACACCTGACAAGCACCTCCAGGTGTGCCGGGAGAGACCATGACCACAGCTGGGGCAGGAGCTCCCACGGTGAACGCAGACAGACAGGAGTTCAGGACCAGTACACAAGGAGGGTCTGGGCTGCAGGGCCCTGGACGAGGGGCTCAGGCTTGGACAATGGCAGGAGAGGCAGCTGGGCCAGGTGGGAATGGCTACTGTGGGGGCAACGGGATGCCCCAGGGTTTAGTCTGCAACTCCACCACACGGTGAAAACTTGGGGCAGGCCTGGGACCACGCCCTCTCCAGGTTCCAGGCCCCAAACACACTCTGTATGTGTTTACGTCTTCCATCACGGGGGGTCAGGACCATGCCCCCTGCAGCAGCGGAGATGGCGGCTCCTGTCATGTATGTCCCACAGCACAACAGTGACCAGTGGGAGAGGGGGACGAGTCTGGTGGCTGTTGTGGGCAGTGCTGTCCATGTGGAGACAGTGCTCGCTCTCCCCAGAGGGGATTTAAGTCATGAGTGGCTCCAACCAGCACAGAGCTCTGGGTTGGAATCACTGAGGCCAGCTCCCGCAGTCCTCGGAGACAGAAGTGACAGGTGATGAGCACTCCCAGTGCTGGCCCGCAGTGGGAGTACGGTCACGGGAGAGGACCCCAGGTGGGCAGGGCAGAGGGTGTGTGGAGAGGGTGCATCCCACGACAGGGGCTTCCTGAGCACAGAGGGTGCCAGGAACCCAGGGCCAAACCCAGGGCCAAACCCTTCCATACAGTGGGTTCCACTTAATCTCTATCTCTCTGTGTAAATGCCTACTGACTACCTTGATGTAAATATTTTTTATGTGTGTATACATCCCAGCAGTGCAAATGCACATACACCTTCTCAGTCTTTTTCCAGCCTATTCTCCCCACCAGGCCTCTTTTGATAAACTCTGGGTTGCAGGTCCTACGGGTGATGGAACCCTATTTGGGGCCCTGGAGTGTGGTGAACCTGCAGTTAGAGCTGTTGGCGGGGTCCCTGATCCCGTGCAGATTGGACCAGCCTCACTCCCTGTCACTGACAGTTGGCCAGAAAGAAGATTCTTCCAGACGGCTTCCTTGGAGGAGATCCCAGAAGTCCTCCTCTTGGTTTTGATTTCGGTGGCATCAGACTGACCACCAAGGGTTGGCACAGCCGTCAGGAAAACCAGTGAGCCCACACGGTCAGCCACAGCCAAGTCCCACTGGGGTTCCCCCACAGCGTGCCCCTGGCCTGCAACCATGCCAAGATGGTCACTCCAAAATGCATTCACCAGTTTCAAGGTGTCGCCCACTTACACACTCAGTGGGTGTGAATGCGGTACACACCCAGAACCACACTCCAGGTGTGCAGGGATTATTTGAACTCACATTTGAATCCCACCACAGTTTGACGTAAACCCTTTCTCTGCAGTCAGAGGGAGCGACCCCTGCAGTGCAGCAAGACACTGCGCTCCTGTGATTTGGGGAGGCTGCTAAGACACATCGCCCTGACCCACCGAGGGCCGGGCCGTGCTGCGGACCGCGGTAAGCTCAGGCCCAGCTCCCTGACAGCAAGGAGAATTGTTGGTGTTTGAATTTAATTCGTGCCTGAGGTGGTTTTTGTTAGAAAAACTTTAATCTTCCGTGTTAGATCAATCAAACTGAAGTTAACTGGCCAAAAAACGCTAATGATCAGTTATTCCCAATTGTTATTTTGTAGATTAAGACCAAGGTGAATTGAAAAGCTGGCAAAGGCATTATTATTAATGATGCTGCGTTTAATAATAAAATATGGCCACTCTCACGTGCGATCCCTACTCCCCTGCCGAGCCACCAACAAATGTTCATTAAGGGCTCAAAAGAATGGGCTGGCCGGTGGAAAGTACTGAGGACACGCTGCGCCCAGACAAAGGTGCGACCAGGGGAAGGAGCCGCTTCCCTGCCGCACAGACAGGAGCAGGAACCTGGGTCTACTGTGGGGAATTCTAAGCCCAGGGAGTGTGAGGAGAGGAAGTGCCAGGATAAAGCTTGCCTTGCATTGGGGAGGAACTCGTGATTGCCCTGATGAGATTAACCACCGTAATTGGCACTGTTTTCTCCTTCTCGCGGCGGTGTGCAGCCCCAAGGAGGCGGAGGTAATAAATAATGTGCACTTAGCCGCACGGTTGGCCATTCGCAGCCACCTCCCCCACTCGGGGAAGATAAATGTGATTTAAATTAATAGCCAGTCCTAAATAACTCCTCAGCTGGTAAACGGCCCATTTATCAGGCCCAGACAGGCAGTGTCCTTTGATTCATGGTCTTCCCTTACGATGTGAAGGGTGCGTACAAAAATTGTTATTACTTTTTAATAAAGTGTAGCAGTCAGACTTCAGTCATTTATCAGACGCGGTGGCATTCTGACAAACAGAAATATCTTCGCAGCGGATGAATGAGAGGGCTAAAGGACACATTTCTCAACAAAAATAATCACTGCCTGAATAATCTCATAAAAGCCATTTTTAAAGTACCTTGAAATAAATGTATCCGGAAAGATACAGCCCTTGAGGGTTGTCGAACTAAAAACTAAACAAACTATTGTAATATCCACCTTCACAGGGGGCCACGGCTGCCATCTGGTCTGGTCTGTTTGTGTGGCAAGGGTGGGCCCCGCGCAGAGCCAGGGAGCGCCCAAGCCACTGCACACAGCGGGATGGCCAGGCGAGCCTGAGTTTCCGCTTCCCGGAGCTGGGGCGGCTGGAGGAAGCAGGTCGGATCCTGGGTGTGGGAAGTACCGGCAACGGGAGGGCTGGCTGAGCGTCCA